CTTGCCCGCCTTGAAGAGCTCGCGGATGAAGTGGAACCGCACGTCGATATGCTTGCTCCTCGCCGAGCTGAAAGGGTTCTGCACCAACGCGAGAGCCCCCTCGTTGTCCTCACGGACCCTGATCGTGGCACCGCTCGTCTCGGGCGCAATGAACGACAGAACACCACGCACGAACAAGGCTTCCTTCACGCCCTCCCCGGCTGCAATATACTCTGCCTCCGTGGTCGACTGAGCCGTCACTGGCTGTGTCTTCGTGGATGCGCACACTACGGTCCCACCTACAGTCACGGCTAGCCCCGTCGTCGAACGCCTGTCAACGGTGCTGTCGGCGTAACTAGAATCGACGAACACGTCTAGGTCTAGCCCTGATCCGCGGACGTAGGTGATCCCGAGGTCCTTCGTCTCGTTGAGGTAAGACATGATCCGCACAAGCGCGTTCCACATCCTGTCGGTGGGTGAGTGGGCGATCTTCTGCAGCTTGTTCAAAGGCAGCGCGATGTCCGGCCTCGTGAACAGCAACCACATCAGGCATCCGATCGCTTCCCTCACGGGCTTGTCCACCGAGGACTCGTCGTCTCTCTTCGGCCCTAGGTCATCGTCGACGACAGCGGGTGTGGGAGCCGTGGTCGTGACATTGAAGTGTTCGTGGTAGCGGCAGGTGTATCGACTCAATGGCGGGGTATATCTGATTGGACCACTTGACTAGCGGGACTGTCGTGGAAGGTTACTCCGGTTCTGCAGGTTCCGCTGTGGAACATTCGTATAAGTATCTGTTGGGCAATCTGTTGGTGGTTTGTGCTTTCCTCCGATGTATTTGTGGCTCGTAGGAAGAGTACAACTACCCGTGATCGGGGAATCGGGATAGTGTGATGTGATTCGTGATCGGGTTGTCGGGGTATTGCAATCGGGCAGATAGGGGTGCTGCACGCCCTCGCCTTGCCTACTCCCATTCCAAACCAACTAATAAGACCAAGTCTCAACTATCCAACAACGTTTTCTCTACAAGCCACGAGTTTCCCAACACGCTATAGCGTCCCACTGGTTTCTGGGCTTCTGTCTGGTGCGTACCCGAGCTGCGTCCCTGGACTTCGGGCCTCGGTGGTGGACTTGATCACTCTACTACTATGTCAGACAGGGAAGACCCTGCAGCCAACCAGTCTTCGGACGAGCAGCCGCAGGGGGTTAGTGAGAGACTTGTGTCAATGGAATCGCAGATGTCTCAACTAGCGTGTTTGGGTAGCACGTTTTTGAGTCAACAACGCGATAGGGATGTGGAGTCCTCTGGTTCGCCTGCTGCGCCGGGAAGCGGCGGACCAGAAAATGCTGGTCGGCACCCTACAGGTGCTGCCGGTGCGAGAGCAAGTAGGGGTGTTGCTGCCCAAGGACTTGGCGTCTCGGGAAGTGCGGGAGGTACGGGTAGCAACGTCCAAAGCCTTGGCGCTTCAAGTATGCGGCTTGGTACTGGTAGTCTTCTAGGCTCTGACCTGAACACGCATGCAGGTGTTAATCGTTCCTTTGTTGCGCAGTAAACTCAGGTTCGATGGGAATTGAGAGTGGAGCGNATCTTCTAGGCTCTGACCTGAACCCGGATGCAGGTGTTAATCGTTCCTTTGTTGCTGCAGTAAACTCAGATTCGATGGGAATTGAGAGTGGAGCGTTCCGTAGCCGGTCTCAAATTCCACCCCCTCCTACTGCTGCTACTACCGAATGGTGGGGGGGTGTCGCTAGTGGAAACACCCTGCTTCCTGGGGCGGATACAAACACAGATGACAGGTTGGGTGGGGGTCTTTTCAAAGTTCCCAAAGGTCCTCTGTTTGATGGGACGGACGTAGCCTATCCCTCATGGTCCCAGAATTTTCTGCTGAGTGCCCGGCATTATAATTTGTACGAAGCATTTGTTTCAGATGTCGATATCCCGATTGCTGAGATTGGTTTTGACTTGACTCCATGGATTGAGAAGGGATTCAGTGTGGGTGTGGTTAAGCAGGCTGAAATGGCATGGTGGTTTCTGTTTGACTGTTTGAAGAAAGACTCTCTGAAAACCATGGTTAGGCAGGCTGGTTCAGCTAGCAAGGCGTTCCGCACTCTGAAGAATCACTTTCTTCCTCTGAGCCAGAGTCAAATCCGTGTCCATGAAGCTAAGCTCAAATCGCTTCGCATGCGTTCAAGCGAAAACCCAGCAGTATTTTTTGCTGCTATGCGTGAGACTTTTGATGTCTCTGTCTGGCATGAGTGAATGAAGTAGTGCTGAGTGTCTGGCAGAGATGTTCGACTCGGTGATGAAGCAAGTCAACAGCGGTGCTAAATTCATGAGTGATTGTTTGGTCGCTGCGCAGAAGGAGTGCTGTATCGAAGATTGGTATGCAAACACAGGCACTGCCTTTCACATGACAGATTCTCTTGCTTGCCTGAGGGATGTGACGTCTTGCCACAAGACAGTTAAAGGAATTGGTGGCGTAATGTGTGAGGTAGCACTGACTGGCACTCTAGACTTGGTGTTCGTGTCTGCTGACAGCGAGTTCTCGGTGGAGTTGAAGAATGTGCTGTACTCTCCCAACTTGTGGTACAACCTCTTCTCTCCTAGCGCAGAGTTTGACGGCTCCTGGAACCGCCTTGGTGGGCCCGACAAAGTGTTGACTGCCTTCCGTGGAAATGTTGTGTTCCAGAACGTCAATGGGATGCTTGTTGCGACCGCCTATCGTCTTGAGTATGAGGATAGTGATGACTCTGTTGTTGGGTCGGTGTTGGCTGCTCTCACTCCCTCAAACCCCAAGCATGCAAGCAAGATGGATATCAACGAGTTCCATAACATTTACGCCCANGTGTTGGCTGCTCTCACTCCCTCAAACCCCAAGCATGCAAGCAAGGTGGATATCAACGAGTTCCACAACATTTACGCTCATGCACATGGAGGCTTGCTTCGTACTGCTGCAAAGCAGTTGAGTGTTGAGCTGACTGGTACCATGTGTTCGTGTGTCTGGATACGAGCATGGTAGATCTGCTAGCAGCACGGGGGG